CCAAAGCAGCGGTCGATGAATCAATCCAGTCCTTGGTAGCTCTATGAGCGCTCTCAACTCTACATGTTGTAGTGTTCCCGTAATGAAGTACCTGGTTTGTCCAATATTTGACAAACTTTTCCCTGTGAGGGACCCATTGCTGCATCACATAGTCCACCAGTGCCGGACACCACTGGTACGAATCCCTGAAGTTAGCCAATTCTCGCTCGTACGCTTCCTCTGTGGTAGCCTGTAGGATCTTCCGCCACTTACCGTTCACCAATCTCTCTGCCATTTCCAAATTCTTGTTGAAAAGGTTGTAGGCTTTCACTTTCACGCAGTTGTTGATGTGCCATGTGCACAATAAGTGATTCGATTCTGGAAACAGCTCTGCTATGGGGGCAAAGAGACCTCCCTCACAGTCGCTGACGATGGCTGCTGGATGAACATTAGGCCCGATGTAGTTTCTCAGCTTCTCCAAGACCCAATAATAACTTGGAGCCGTCTCATCCTTGATGATTGCATGACCAATCAGAAAGTTCTGGTTCGTTGGAGTCATCCCCATGATCTCAACCAGTGGGAACTTGTACTTGTTTGTCTTGTACGTTGAGTCGATCAAAATCACAAATGGCCAAGACTTGATCATATCAGCACAATCAGGATGCACAAGGAAAAGATGAGTCACCTCCGCTGTATCTTCATCAGAATCAAACCAGAACAGGTAACCACGTGATTGTGCCTGGTGTAGCAGCTGCTGTATAGGGTTCCTACCCTCTGACCGTTCAAACCTGAGTTGCTGTCTGACGTTGTAGATGTGTCTTCGGTTTGGATGGTCTTCTGGAAATTTCTCTAACACAGATGCTAATATTTTAGCAGGCTTGACTTGAGCATCACTCATTTCTTTCACAACCAGTTTCGCAGAAGGACTTAAGCCGCTCAGCTGTCGATGACCCTCTTCATATACTATCATCTCATGGTTGTGATACCCCCATTTAGAGTAACCAATCACTTCCCAACCGTCACGACTCCGTAGTTGTCGCACCTTTACTCTGAACTCACACCCACAGCCTTTCCGCTTTGTATCAAACCGAGTGGCTGTACGAAAATCTCTTTCTTCTCTTTTGCGATAACGGTCACATCTCAAAATGCGATCCATTCTACCATCCCGTTGAGATTTGTGAGTTACTACTACCAAGCAAAATCCAGCTGCAATTGCAACTTGTTTTGCCCAATCAACCGCTTGTTGAGCTTCTTCGAATGGACCATCATGTCCAAATATCCCACTGTAATCATTTCCGTCTCCACCATAATTCTGCATGAATTATATATTATAATAAATACATTTAACGCATAATACATTTAATTTCTATATTTACACATAATTAACACAAAAAACAAAACATAATTAATTTTCGAATTTTCGAATTTTCAAAATTAATTTTAAAAAAAGCCATTTTGAAATTTTTAAAAAACTCATTTTCTATTTTTTTTTTTAAAAAAAATAAAAATTAGGCCCAACAACAAAATCAAAGAAGGAAAAAAAAAAAAAAAGGAAAAAAAAAAAAATAAGGGTGGCGTCTGCCAGGGCCGCCACAGCCACTGGACTGGCGCCTGGCAAGGCCGCCGCAGCCAGCAGACTGGCGTCCTGGCCAGGCGCCAGCCTGGTGGTTGAGGCGTCTTGGCTGGACGCCGGTCCGGTGGTTCTGGCGTCTGGCTTGGACGTCCGTGCCACGGTTTGGCCGTCCACCCTAGGCGCCGGAGCCACCCTACGGTAAACCGGGAATTTTAACGGTGACTTACCTCGTTTTCCGACGACGACGACGTACCTCCGGCGTCCCCCACAACTCCGGCCTGCCCTCCGGTCTCCCCCGGCGAGTTAGTACGGCTCCACATTTTTTAAATCGAGATTTGTTCAATTTTAGAAAATGAAATCCCCCGGCGAGTTAGTACGGCTCCACTTTTTTTAATTCGAGATTTGTTCAATTTTAGAAAATGGAATCCCGCAGCAACTTAGCACGGCTCCACGGTATTTAAATCGAGATTTGTTCAATTTTAGAAAAAGGGCATAATTGTCACACCAAGTCATATTTGTGGGCTTTATATGGTAATTTGCGGGCGATGTTTAGCAATCCACTAAAATTTTGTTATGCTCCAAATACTAAACTTATAGACTAGCTCCAAGCTAAATTTTTCCATTTAACCAATGTGGGAGCTTCTTCCCAACATCAAGTTAATAGTGTAGAGTAACTTATAGACTAGCTTCAAGCTAAACTTTTCTATTTAACCAATGTGGGAGTTTCTTCCCAACATCAAGTTAAATAGAATAGAGTAAGCTAATATCTTCTATTCAACCAATGTGGGAGCTTTTTCCAACAACAAGTTAAATAGAATTAAACAAGTTAACTTCTTCTATTCTACTAATGTGGGACTTCCATCCAACATTTAGCTATATAGACTAACCTATATAACCAATTTCTATTCTACCAATGTGGGACTAATTTCCCATCATTCACAAAACCTATTATGAAGACTACTCTAACAAATTGAAGACAGAATTTAATTTCTCCATAGACAAAAAAATCAACTTACAAATCAACGAGAGTCACTAATACTCTATTAACTTCACCAGTACCCTTTATAAGTACATGTCATACTTTATCATAAATCACACATTAATAAATAAAGTACACATTAATACAAATCTAATAAGACCCTATTTGATACATTTTTTTCTTATAAATTAACGTACATATTGTATATAGGTCAAAATTTGGTCAAATCAGATCAATAAGAAATAAAAATAAAGTTAATATATATCAAATAAGGTAAGCAAAAATAAAGTGAACTAAATATAACCTAAATTGGAGCTTAACTGGCAAAGGACTAAAGTGAAATTAGAGCTGATCATGGTGGCCTCGCCCGAATTTGGGCGGGTTTTGGGCAGCTTTTTCCAGCCCGAAATTAGGTTGGGCTCGCCTTGGCCCGTTTTTTTCAAAAATTTTGGACGGGCTTGGAAAGATGTTTTTATGCAGAATTAGTTGCTATTTTGCCCGGCCCGAAAAAGCTTGCACGGCCCAAAAAGCTTGCACGACCCGGCATTTTGGGCGAGTTTGGGCACAAACTTTTTGGCCAGAAGTTTGGCCCGGTCCGACATACGGTCCAATTTTTTTTTTTTTCCTTAGGCTCGGCCTAGCGCGCCCAATGGTCACCTCTAAGTGAAATCTTTATATTCTACAAGTATCAAAGTAGGGTTGTTTATGGGTCCAATATTTGAAACAATTCCTATATCGAACTAAGTAACTGTTGATGATTTAGAGTGTCGTATAGTGTGCGCCCGCGCCCATGTTAAGCACGCCCGCGTTAGGTAGGCGCGGCCGCGATAAAAGCGCGTCTAAATCGCGCACCTCTCTGGAAATCAGCATGTTGGATGAAAGTGGAAGGCGCGCCCGCGCTGCAGACCGCGCTCAAACCGCGCCCCTCACTGTCTTCTAGTTTCATTTGCAGACTTTCTGGGAGGAGCTCCCGCTCCAAAAAGAGGCGCGCCCGCGCCTGTTGTGGTGCGCCCACACTTGTTTGTTGCGCGCCCGTGCTACTTCCCAGTTCTACGGTTTTTTGCTGATGGTTATTTCTCTTATAAAAGAGAATTTTCGTGAACAACGAAAATAGAGACAGAACATTTCCTTTGTTTTCTTTCCCAAAAAGTATTCTCCACATTTTCTCTCAATTTTCTTGCAAACTATTGTGAGAAAACTCTTGAAATTTAGCCAATTTTTGTGAATTATTCATTGTTCTTCGATTCGAGTGCTAAGAACGAAGTTTACTATCAATTGTATCTCAAAGAGGATTTCCGGTTTAACCCAAGCACCGTGTGGGGGAAATAAACCACTTTAGGAAAGTGTATACACGTCTTTGACAATGTATCAAGGTTTGAGACTCAAGTGGTCATCGTTTTTCTCATGTTCATGTTCATCATCATCAAGGATTGGAGTTGAGGCAAGTTTGTATTCTTTACATTAGTGTTTTCATTTGTAATTTTCTGAAATACATTGTATTTTTGGTGCTTGATTGTAATACCTTTAATAGTATTTGGTTTGTTGTATAATTGATTGTTATTATACACAATTTAGGTTTTGTTCCCACACAATTTTAAGTAATTCTTTGTTGTTTGAATTACTGTAAAACCTAACAGTAACCAACATGCAAATCACATTTTTTTTTTTGATGTTTAGAGAGGCACAAGGGCGGGTGATGAGAATTGACCCCGAGATCAGATCTTCTGAAATCAGGAGAGAAGCACTAACCACTTGAGCTATACTTCACTCTCATATGCAAATCACATATAAATCAATACCCTGCAACTAATGATCCAAAAGGTTTGAATGTTTAAATGTTTCGATACCTGGAACTCTAGAAGTTTGATCAGAACATCAAATACCTAATATGATCTAAATCATAAATTGAGAGCATATAATTTAGTTTTGCATAGTCCTATTCCCTTGCTTTGTGACTTAATGGAATTTTTATTTTTATTTTTTATAGCATTATGTGCACATCTTTTATTAATAATGTGTTTAATTATTTGCATAATTTAATAATACTTTTATATTGCACAATGAGACATATATATATATATATGTATATATATGTGGATGAATACTAATGGTCACACTTATTATTTTGCTAGACCTTGATCCCTATTTTGACAAAAATGATTTGGCAATCAACGCCAAAAAATAGTGGGTATTAGAAATCCGTTTGATAAGTTACTACAAAAAATGGTATAATTCAATTAGAAAAATTACTAATATTAATAAAAATCAAGTGAATATAATGCTTCGTAACACTTCATATTTGTATTTGTAATAAGTTATTCAAAATAAAAAATCAAGTAAATACAATACATCTTAATACGAGTATCAAAGAAACTAAAACTCGGCTCGATTGTTCATTTTCTTGACTCTTTAGTTCGAGTGTTCAACCTTTCACCAAAAGGCCAAAACCCAATGATACGTGTTGGTATGAAGACTCACCAAGAAAGGGTTTTGCCGTTTTGGGTTTAACTTACATTTGTACTCCGTTAAGTGTTGTAACACTACACTATTCATTGCATTTGAGCATCTTTTGGACTAAACTTTCATTGTTTCATAAACTGGGCAACAAAGTTCACTGTTCGCCGGAATCTTCCCACTTCTTAATTCTGAATTTTATCATCAATTCATCAAAGTTTCTAAATTTCCTAAACTTAAATGCAATAAATCTTGAAAGCAGACAAACCAAGATGTCGCTTTCAACCCTTTCTTCATCAATTCACACCCAAATTTTGTTAAGACAACCTTTAATCCCACGTCAAAGCTCTCTGGTTAGTCTTTTAATAATGGGGTTGTGATTTTATTTGCTTTTTGGTTAGATTTTTGCATTGATTACTTAAAATTTTCAATTTTTTGATGTGGGGTTTTGCTGAAATCTTCTCTTTCTTAATATTAAGCTTTAATTTTTTGCTTAGTGGTTGTCTAATTATGTTTTAACAATGATTTAATTAGTATCATGTTCATATGTTTCATTGATTATGTGATTGTCTAATTATGTTATAACAATTTAATTAGTGTCATGTTTATATTTGATTGATATATGTTTGTGAATTTAAATTGAAATGTTGGGAAATAAGAACGGAACATTTTGCTAGAAAGCCTAAATCATTTGGTTAAATTTGATTTATTTGGATGAAAAAGGAAGTAAATTTAGGATTTGAAAGTCTCAAGGTGAAGGAATTTAGTGGGGATAAGTTGGGGTGGAAAGGAGGTGGTCCAAGTAGACTATTATATATAGTTGACAAAGTTTGTTTCTCAACTGATGTCCCATGAATTTTGACAAGTTTAGCTTCTTGTGTTTTTTCTAAAAAAGGTATTTTTCTTTGAACAATTATTTCTGATTTGGTTGGCCTGAATGTAAGTCTTAATATGAACTGTCTTCAACATGTGGTGGGAACTGGGAAGTTCGTGAACTAAGCCTGTCAGTCTGTCACAGTTGACGCGTTGGGGATTGAGAAATTATTGTAGGTTGGAACTTGATATAGCCGGGTGTAATACGTCTTATTTGGGAACAATCTGTAGATTAAGGCAGGATATAGTGGTATACTAACAATATTCTAGAGTATGGAATTATGGATCTGGATGACTTAATTGCTGTTTATGGTCTAATTAATTAGGATAACTCTATAATCTGCTGACCTTTAACATTATGTTGGACTCGCCACCTTATGTTTTACAAATTGTTCCTAGTAGTGACATAAAGACGTGTTCTTAGGCATACTTATCCTGAAAAAAGAGAAGCAAAAGATGTGCTGTTGAGCATATACTTCCTCATCGTTTCGAACTTGTACTTTTGATGACTACTTTTGGTGGTGGGAGAAAGTAAAGTGACCAATGTCGTTCAATTGATTTTGGTGAAACTTTTGCTCATTTTCAGAGTGCAAATGTTCCTGTCTAGATGTTATATTGTTTTTTGCCCGACACAAGAGGACCATCTATATAACAAATAGAAGGCTCAGTGTACCTACATTTGATTATATATTTGCTTCTAATCCTGGTAACATGTTATGCCTTGAGTTAGCAATTTTGTAAGATGACCGGAGACTCTATGTTCTGTTTGGTATAATTTTCAGGTGGCAGGAGATTACCAGGCTTCCCCAACAGCTAATCTTGTTTTATGTGGGCATGCTAGCAATTTTTGCCACAAGTTCCGTGGCTTGAAGCTTTGGATTCAAAAAAATCTGAACATAAAATTGTGCAACAGAAAATATGGACAAGAAATCAAACTTAAAACATCAAAAGTTCTTGACCGCAATTTTTTGGCTGATTCTTTGAGGATAGTTTCTTCATCCGTGAATCAGGTTCGAGATGAAACAGGTGGTAAAGACCTGCTGAGAGTCTACTATCTTGCCTAGCATATTTTATCAGCTTTCATATAACAAGTTACTAGATTAAGAGAGGAGATAACAACAATAAAGTTCTTATGAAATTTAAGTGGTTTCAAATTAGGGTTCTCCCTTCTCTCTTGTGCTTTGGGAAATCAATTGTCTCTTCATTTTAGTTTGACATTTCAAGGAATTGACAATTTGTAAATGTAACTTGCAGACTCACTTGATGAAACAAGAAATGTTTCAATTCCTGAGGGAAGCTCAATTCGCAACTCGTCTCCAAAAGTGTCTTTATTATATGGATCTTCAAATGTTATGCAAACAAATTCCTTTGGTTTCTCTCTTATGGAGGCTGAGGCAGTGTCTCTTAGTATTGCAGTTATAGGAGCAACAGGTGACCCTTCCAGGAAGAAAATATTTCCAGCATTATTTGCTCTATATTACAGCGGCTTCCTCCCTGAGGTGGGACCCCTTCTATGTTCATTTTGGCTTACTTGGTTGTTGTTATTACCATATCTTTATCATATTATATTGCTGTGTCAAATCTGTCATCAGAACCTGAAGTCAATTCATGAACTTGGTATTGATTTACCTCATTGGTTGATCATTACCCTATTGAATCAGCAAATAGAAGCTGGATATGCAGATGTTAGTGAATGAGTGCTTCATTTCTTTTGTCAAAGTAAATTTTGATCACATTTAAGACGATAGAGTGCCCAGGATTGCCAGCAAGTAGCAATTATAACTAATGAAACTTAGCATGAGTAAGAAGTTTAGAGGCGGAACGAGGATGAAAATAGGGGAATGGGGACAAGAGGGATAATAATTTGAGAAGCTGTTCTTGACTTTTTTTTTGCTTTTTTTTTTGGTAAAAAAAGAGTCCACTGGTTTGGCTTCTTGTATGTATTAATCACCATGATAGCTTTGGAACTCCTGTGTACTATATCTGACCAAATTTGACATTGCCATCTCTAAGTTATGATTTAATTGATTGCAGAATGTTCGAATATTTGGGTATTCCAGAGAAATTCTGACAGATGGAGACCTGAGATCCCTAGTAGCTTCAACTTTGACATGTCGTGTTGATCATCAGTATGGCCTCTTACCTTGATTGGTTTGGCTTATGGTCTATTAAAATGTTTGTTCCCAATTATAAACAACTTTATATGCACATACTACGAAACATTGCTTTTGCTTCATAAAGTGGTCCATTAACTGAAAGATATGGAATTGCACTGGAAGAAGAGCTACTGATGCCTACAGCATTGATGAGGGGTAAGATCCTAGGCCTGGATAGAGCAAGTGAAATTAGTTCTCCGCTCATCCTGATGCATGAGATGTTAGTGGTTTCATTGAGCCTCGTAAGCAATTAAACATAATTAGCTTAAGATTGGAAGTAAACAAGATGAATGTTGTAGCTAATCTTGAGTTTGACAAGGATGATCAGATATAGGTGGGCTGGAAGCATACAAGGGTTTCCGTTTTTGTTCATGTGATGCAGTGGTTCACTCCCAACTCATGTACTGTGACATTATGTTACTCAGACATGGTTATGAATGTCAGGTGGGGGAACATATCATGATTGTTAAGACTTGTTGAAAACATATCTCAAGCTTTTTGTGAGCAGATATCCGACATACTCCTCTTTTCCTTTCCCCTATATTTACAGTTTCTCTTACAATTATGTGGTTCAAGATAACTGAAGTGTCGGGTAAGGATTCCATACCCTTGTTGCAGTGTCGAGTGTCTGCCACAGGTTCGAAGAGTTGAAGTAGCATAGATTGACATATAATAAAGAGAGGGGGGGTGGGGGCGGGGGGGGGGGATGGGGTGGGTTGGTGGGGTGTTATCCTGTACTATTTCAAAGCAGCTTATGGTTCTAGCCAGAAACTGGCATTCTTGCCAACACAATATGATACCCACATTGGTTTGAGACTTGAGGTGTAATTGATATTGTGCAACTGTATGGTTTTTTTGAACCTCAGAGCCTAGGTTGAGCATATTCAGAGATAATAAGAGACAAGGAGATAACAGGAATTTGTGGTCAAATTGTGCGGTGGGGTTCTTTAAGCCTGAGTTTTATTTATTATTGACCTTTCAAGGTAGTATATATTGAGGGAATATAGCAAGTTAGGGCCAGATCTTTTAAGTTTTTAAGTGTATCAGTTCAGCGTAAACAATATAAAAAGGAGTGTAGGCTGGGAGGGGCTTTCAATTTCCATGTAGCCTGGCCTTGTGGAGTAGGTCAAAGGCTCTGAAATAGGCCTTCATGGCAGTATGCTTAAGAGTTTGAGGTGTAATAGTTAATATTAGTTTCGCAAGGCAAGACCTAGAGAGGGTATATTTATGTGACATAGTGCAAATTTCAGATCAGGATTCACAGCTACAAGAACAAAATTGCTTAACTTCCTTGACCAAGTGGCAGAATAATGTTATTGAACAGTGCTAATGTATTATGAATTTAATTAAGAAATTAAGAAGAAAATTTGTGAAACTGATGATTGTTGTAATACGGAAGTAATGAAATCACCAATAGAGCAATACAACATATAACCCAGACCTCAGAGTGGCTGGAAATTCATGAAGAAAGAGAAAATTATCTCAAAATGTCTGAATGGTTATTTCTCTACACTCATTTCCACCCATCCATTGAATTTCTACCGACTTCACACCTAAGGCATCTTTTAACTGAATTGCTGACCATCAGGTTGCATTCCCCATACTACCCCCATGCTTGCTTTTGGGGTACATCAGCTTAATAGGAAAGGCTTATGCTGATGCATTACAAAAAAATTGAAGGAAATCTTACTGATATCACAAATACAATGAATGTAGCCTGATCATAGGAGATTGAAACTATTAATTCTGCTCTTGTCCTTGCATGATCAAGGCAATAATCAAGGAAATAACATTACCGAGCCTACAGAGGTGAAAGTGAAAATGAGAGTTATTTCACAAAGTAATCAATATATTTCATATTAATAGGAAAAAATTTATCTTGTCTACTTTTCTCAACAAAGAAGAAAATAATTAGGAATCTAAGTCACCATGTAGTTTGCAGGATTTTTATGTCTTAGTGTGCTCGCTCAAGAACGACTTTAGTGAAACATCTTTTGTGAGAAAAAAATTCTCCATGTTATGTTCTGTTGCTTTGAAGTCCCTTACCTTACTCCTCTTCTTTCTATTTTGTGTTTACATATTTCAATTTTTTTATTTTATTTAATTTGTTTGGGGAAACCCAAATCATTTTGGATTAAGGCTTTGATGTTGTTGTTGTTGTAATTTGTTTGGGGAAAGGGGAGGGTGATTTGAGGTTTGGAGCAGGGGTGAAGCCAGGATTTTCAAGTCCTAGGGGCCAGACTTATTAGACAACAGGTTGATGGAAAAAAATTAAAATGTACTAATATTTTATTTTCACAAAAAAAATTAGTTAAAACCAAAACATCTCTAAAAAAATCTAGTGTTTTTGATTTCATGATTTAACCTATATCAATACAAAAACAACAATTCTCAAATTAAGTAGCATATAACCCTAAAATTTATCCTAAAGGTCCATTCAATAAATTAAAAATTAGCCAAAATTATTAAATAATAAACATATTAAGCAAGTAATCAATTAATCACAATCATGTAAATAGCATAAAGAAATTTATTAATTGAATGAAATTACATAATTAAAGAAATTAATCAAAAAGAAGAATTTCAAATTATGGGGTTGATTTGCTACTGAACAATAGTAATTGATGAGTTGAAACTCAAAATATGATTGCCCTCCAAACATATTAATTTCACGTTATTAAGTTATTGGGAGATTTGGGCTTTATTATCAAAACCCAAACCCACCTTGAATAAGAAGTTTTAGTTGAAAGCTTTCAAAAAAATAAAAATAAAAAGAAGTTTTAATTAAAAAATATGTGAGAGATGGGATCGAACCCAGCCCCCTTTGGGAAAATAAAACATTACCCAACCAAAATGACAAGGTATATTTATTGTCATATATGTGTCTTGAATACTATATTACTAATTTTAAGGGGGGCCATAAGATATAATACATGGGCCGCAAATTTGGGCCGGGGAGGCCGGGCCTCCCCCAGCCCCCCCGTCCCTTCGCCCTTGGTTTGGAGCATGGTGAATTATTCCATTTGTCTTTTCTCGTATCTTTTCTGATGGTCAATTAATTCCATGTAGATGCATGCATCGCCATGTTCCTCATTCGTTCGTTGTGCAGGCAGAACTGTGGGAGCAAAATAGACTCATTTCTTAGCAAGACATACTATGTTGCCGGAGATTATGACAGCCAAGAAGGAATCTTGAAGCTCAATGCAAGGATGGGGCAAATTGAGGTGGATTTTGATTGACGCTCTTGTTTCAGAATTGTGATAAACGGATAAATATGAGATGAATAAAGTCTCTTTTACAACTATAGGAGGTCTATGATGGAATTATTTGAAGTTTAAATATGTAAGCTGTCTATTCTCAGGGAGACCGTGGAGCAAATCGGATCTTTTACCTGTCAGTGCCACAAGAAGCTATGTTAAATGTTGCATCCTGTATCGCTGATAAATCTCAAACAAAAATAGGATGGAACCGTATAATAACTGAAAAGGCCTTCGGCTTAGATGCTTTGTCTTCTAATATGTTGACGAACTCTCTTCTTTTGAAATTTGAGGAGAAGCAAATATACAGGTGTTTATTAATATCCTGTATTCTTGCTGTATGTGATTGTCCTATAGTATTTCTACATGCCTGATAAAATGGATTTTTGCAGGATGGACCATCTTCTGGGAAGAAATCTTATAGAAAACCTTACTGTTTTAAGATTCTCTAATCTAGTTTTTGAGCCATTATGGAGTCGTAAATTTATACGTAATGTGCAGGTATATATCTTCCTCTCTTTATGTAGGCTTATTTCATAATCTGGAAATAAACAAAATGACTTTTAATGCAATTATGTGCAGATTATTCTATCTGAGGAACTGATTTTAGAGAGTCAATCAAGGCAATATAGATCCACAATTCAAATTTTCTAATTCGAATTCAGTATGTGTCTTCCCCCATAGTCCTAATCATAACTTTTGAAATTTCCTTCCTGTGCAGGTATTCTGGTGATTATGGAGTCATCCGAGAGATGGTGCATAGTCATATACTCCAAATGGTAGCACTTCTTGCCATGGAAACTCCTATAAGTCTTGATGGTGAGGATATCCGAAATGAGAAGGTGTGCTACTCTTAAAGTCTTATGTAGACCTTAGTGTCATAACATGCAAGCATGTTACTTACAGACAAGCATAATTGCAGGTCAAGGTTCTGAGGTCAATTGGTAAACTGGAACCTAAAGATGTCATTCTTGGACAATACAAGGCTATGTCCAAAGACAAAATTGACGTCTCTGTGACATCAATGACCCCATCATTCTTTGCAGCAGCTTTGTACATCAATAATGCACGATGGGATGGTGTGCCATTTCTGATCAGAGCTGGGACAGGACTCGTCTCACACAGGTATGTGACTACCGAAGCATTGCTGAGAAACATTTGAGTGAATGTCTTCTAGTAATTTGCTACTGCCCCTATGTACTTATCTTTATTGCACTAAATGCTCTATGGAAAATGAATTTTGATCAGTAAATTTCTAATTTTTTTTGAATTGCTGTCCTATCCTTGCCCCTCCTTTAAGAAAGAATTTGAATGTTGTGTATAAAGAATGATGTTGTCCAAGCACTCAGAGACGGAGAATCTATCAATCTTCAGTAGATGAAGTTGTGCCTTTACTTCCAATTGTTGTTGAACTCATGCTTCTTGTTTGCTTATAGAGACAGACAAAGACAGGCCCACCACTTTGAAATTTACACAATTATAATGAACTCTCAAGTAATCACTATTGGATGATTGTTCATAAAGCTGTGCCTTCACTTGTAATTATCATATGAACACATTTCTTGTAGCTTATGAACAGTCAAAGTTTGGCCTACTACTTTGAAATGCCATCCTCACAAAATTATCTTTGGGTTGATATGTACTATGTTTTTGTTGATGATTGATAAGTGTCACTGTGTCAAAGCCTTCCCAACTAGACTTGGTTATAGGGTTTGGATCAAGGTTAAAGGGTTTATTGGCAGGGTCCTTTAACGGACAAGCTTAGTACATGGCCAAAATGCTAGCCCAATTTCGTGGATAAGAAAATAGATGAAATAAAACTTACATGTATAAATATGTATTTACAAATGCTTACTTTTGTCTCTATCTTCCATTCTTTTTTCTTGCTTGTTTATTGACCTTCTGTTGACCCGCGACTCACGTTGGCCCAATAAAATGTGGTCATGACCTGACTCGCCCAATAACCAGGTCTATCCCCAACCATCAATTATGACAAAATTTATGTGTGGCAAATGAAGCTTCAACTCTGTGATTGGTTGGACGTACTAGGTAAGGGGAAGTGGCACATTTGGTATTGCAATTTAGGCAGTTCACATTAGCTAGGGGAAGAAGGTATGAAGTTAATTGGAGATGCGGAAGTCAGAAAATGTTGTACATGTGCAATTTCAGTTAGAAAAAAAATTGAGTGAATTTCACTACTTCGTATTTGTTTTAGCTTGTTAATGGAGGCATCCATCCAGTTAAAAGCCTGGCTTAGGAACTCTCCTTGGTGATGATTTAATTGCAGTGCTTATGCAACTATTTAACAAAATTCCCCCTTAATTCTCTTCTTCCTCGTGTCTATATCACTGATTTCAGCATATAATACGTTCACCTCTGCTGGAACCACCAAGTTTATTAGATTGGAAAGTGGATGGACAGTGAGCTACAAGAAAACAGAATTTAGTAAGCATTAGGATTGATACTAGTAGGTATAGCATGGAAGAGAAACTTAATAGGCCCGGTTTTTAATAAGGATTTTAATGCAATTTTGTTGAAATTTTGAAAGGAAAGAAAGGTTTGATTAATTAATTATATATGGAGAATCGATGCATAAGCCAAGTTCAACTGTACTAGAAATAACTAATCGCGTATGGTGATACTGTTGATGCATTGATTGTGGAACACTTATTAGATCTCCCAAGTGGCTTGATATTTGATTCCTGAACTTAGGGTATTTGTATTTGTAGGATGGAAATACGTATACAGTTTGATCATGTTCCAGGAAACATTTACAGAAGGCGTATGGGGCATAATATTGACCTTGCCACTAATGAATTGATATTGCAAGATGTTCCTGATGAAGCCATTCTGATCAGAGTCAATAATAAGGTTCCTGGCTTAAGTTTGCATCTGGATGCTTCAGAACTGAACTTGCTTTACAAAGACAAGTAAGCTTATGTTTTAAAATCTCTTGTTAATCTTATGCTTTGACTGGATGTATGATAATCAGTCTTGGATTCAAATTTCAAGTAATCAAGTGTCTGGTTTAGTTATGGATTTAAGTCCCTGTTCAACGTATTCAATTTATTACTGAGAATGCAATGCCTCTTGTAACTTAGGCGGTGCGCCTTGCATATCCGGCCTAGTTGAAGAGGTACTTGAAAAATATGACAGACTATCATATTAGATAAAAGAGAGATCACTGGGCGTAGGATTTTCATAGAGTGCAAAAATATGTTAATTCATGCCCAACTTACCTTAGTTCAATATTGGTCCCCCTCCAAACTTATTACGTTCAGATAAATCCAAACAAAATAAGTTTAGATAAGTTGGAAAAATTAAAATTCTGCTACAGTAACACACTAACAAATAAGTTACGTCAAAGTCGAAATGAGATTAGATAAACTAAGTTTAGATAATTATAAAACAAATAGAATCGAGCCTGAGAGTCCAAACTCCAAAGTTATGATATCATCATATCAACATAGGATAAGGGGTACATCTAGGAATTGTATGATGGGAATATAAAGCATAACTACTTTTAACACAATCTTTACCAACAAACCACATGCGAATCCTTAATCGTACTGCTTTAATGTTTTTGGAAGTGATAATTTGCAATATTATGTATTAAGTATGGAGTATATTGAGTACATGGGTGTAGGAAAGTGTTGATCTTCCTGTTTTTGGTTAACTAACGTCACACTCCCAGGAGAGTCCGAGCGTCATGTATTTGACTTATTTTCTCTGGAATATGCTCACTCTTTCCTGATTGCATCATCTTTAGGTACAGTGCTGAGGTGCCTGATTCATATGAACACCTTATTCTCGATGTTATAGATGGAGATAACCATCTATTCATGAGAAGTGATGAGCTTGCTGCTGCATGGAATATTCTTAATCCTGTCCTCCAAGAGATCGGCAAGAAAAACATTAGTCCAGAAATGTATGACTTAGGGGGAAGAGGTCCAGAGGGAGCATACTATCTCTGGGCAAAACATGGAGTTCGATGGGTGGAAGACTGAGTACGCTTTCTTCTTGCTCCCTAACTGTCCTTTTTAACCAGTTCTTTCATATTATCAGCATCAAGTACATGTTTTTGAAGTCTCTGTGTTGCTGTTGTAGTTTTATAGAATTGTTGATGACATTGCTGATGGGTTGGTAACCAGTGATAGTACTGCCTAACATAGAGCAATATCGACAACTTGTTGATACTGCATATGGTCTTTATTGACGACAGTAACCCAACCCTGATCTAAAAATAATGTAAACCATCTTTTTCTTAGTTTCTTTTTTCATTAGGAAATTTTTTCTTTAATGGAAGATTACTGTGTCACGTACTCCATAAACCTTTGATTACAGAGTATAAGAAGTTGGAATAATATGTGAGATTTAATTTCTAACGTGTGGAATAACATACGGAGTACAAATATCTTATTGGTGAAGATATTCTAAAGATATTCCACTCGAGAACAATAAATATTGTATTGCAAAAATCTTCCATGTTCTTTTGATGTCTATCTCACACTTTTCCGTCTCATTATATGGTTCATGAAAGGAGCTGATTTTGCATTTTTTAGACTTATAGAATCTAATTCCAAAGCTCCATTTACAAAACTTCTTTTTTGCCTGTCAATTTTTTTTTTATTTTTTTTATCACACTTTAATATCTTTCCAGCAATGCCTCTTCTTTTGCTTTATTTAAAAACTCAGATCGATGAAAAATGCACAATATGGAGTACTACTGAAATGAATTGAATTACTGACAGTTGAGGCATTATTTAATTAATTTTTTATACTTTTTTGAATGAAAATCCATTTAATATTATTAAATCATGAAAAACATGAAACTTGGAAAGTCAGAACAAAAATAAATTTCCCATCTGCTCTATTCAATTTTTATTTTTTTTATTTTTTACATTTTTGTGGTTTTTTTTAATAATTATTTGTGAATTAAAAATATGGGTGATTCAGATTTTGATTGGGGAAATTACAAATATTGGAGTAAATGTTTTTGAGTTGAATTTGCCCTTATTTTTATAACATGTTTTTGTGTTAATCAATTCACAAGAATATGAGGTTCTTTAATCATTTTATTTAATTAAGGATTATATATTCGTACTAATGATTCTTCTGATGGAGTTAAGTCTTTAGTCAAAATGTGCAGAAGAACCCCGTATACATGGGTGTTTGGAATTGACTTATAAATTTCAAGTTGATTTTTGTTATGAATTAAAAGATTAAGCTACCAAAAATTAAAATAACAATTTGATAGACTTATTCTAGGTTAAGGGACCGAAAATTATTCTACTCACAATTTGATAGACCTAAGACTTCGAAGTATTTTTTAATTAAATATTTTTAATACGCAAAATTAGTGCTCATAGATTTTCTCTTCGCAACGTCAAAGATTGATTTTTTTAAAAAAAATTCTTGACGATGAAGGCCTGTAATTAAGTCGACTATGTTCCTTAATTATATGATTAGGAAAATATCCAGTCTTTCAATTTTTCATAGATCCTTAATTGGAGCAAAATGGGTTCATAGAGTTCTCTCATACTACGTATTAAAGAATTAAACACGTTGGCATGTGTCATGTATCTTATATTTGATGGGGTCGGACAATAATTTAGAGGTTTTTCTACTTAGTACTCGTACTCCATAGTAAATTGGATTTTTTTTTTTTTTTTTTTTTTTTCATTTTTTTGACAAATTCATTTTACAACCTTATCTTCCTTATAAAACTTTATGTGTACACTCTCTCTCTTTAAATTTATTCGGTGTTTATTACTTCATATATGATGATTAGAGTATTGTATTGATTATAATTTATGAAACACGACGAAATTAGTGATAGTAGGGTCACTTGCCAATCAATTAGTCAAAAGTAAATGGAAAAAACTTGCAAATACTTCCTCCGTTCTGCTAATATTGCAATAATTGGACTTTTACGTTATTTATCACGCTTGTTTGACCATATATTATAATTTATACGTATACTCTTTCACTCTTTAATTTTATTCGGTGTTTATTACTTCGTATATGATGATTAGAGTATTGTATTGATTATGATTTATGAAACACGACGAAATTAGTGATAGTGGGGTCACTTGCCAATCAATTAATCAAAAGTACATGGGAAAAACCTGCAAATTTATACTTACTCCGTTCTAATAATATTGCAATAATTGGACTTTTACACTATTCATTACGCTTGTTTGACCACATATTATGATTTATACGTAAAGTAAAATATAGTCATGTGAGGGTCTTGTTAGATTTGTCTCGCAAAATACTTTCATAATATCAACTTTTTATAATTTTTACTCTTATATAATTATAGATATTTAGCATATAAAATGTGTTTTAAAATACATAATTTCATCCTTATTGCAATATTTATGAAATAAAGAAGTAATATTTTTTTCCTAGCAATAATACTTTTTCTTTTTCAAAAAAATATATACTTTTCTTCTATAAAATACTTATAGTGAGGGAGTAGTAATAATAAATAATCAACGTAATTAAAAGGAAACATGACGCCACATAGTATTTGTGGCATAACACGGCAACTGGGCATCATCTACATGACATCAGATTAAATCTTCAAACTAGTGGCCAACATTACGTTATGGACGATGATGCAATCCATGATGCTTCCTCTAACCTACCTTTCCCTCTCCTAACTACCATTAGGTAACCTCATTGTCATCACCACCACCTTCACGACCCCACCACCTCGATTATTTATACACAATACGGAGTATACTTCGTATTTGTTTTGATAGATAAGTAAAAAGCGTTTTATCGAACTGACACTTCACACAAGGTAAGCTATCAAAGCTTCTTCAACTAAATTAAAATTGACTTTATAATTCTAATATTGTGAGATATAATTACAGTTAAACTAAGTAAGTATTACTTAAAGATGGCACTGGGCCGGGCCGCTCCAAGCCCGGCACAGCACGGGAAAGGACATGGTATTATGCGTGTGGATTGTGGGCCGACTTTATTTGGGAGAAGCATGATAAGGTACGGCACGATCGGACCCGACATGACAATGCATGCTAAAATCAACGCAATTTTGCTTAGGCACGCAAGCCCGACACGATGGCACGTTGAGCCGTGCATGGGCCAACCTTTTGAAAACTTCGGCCCGACACTGCATGACACGAAAGTCGTGGACTGAGCCATGGGCAGGGCCTAACCAACCCCAAAGCTCGTTGGTCTGGCACGAACGACAACTATCTTTAGTATTACTTGGTAGCTCTACTTTACTTTTTTGATATATGATTATATGGAGTATCTGTTTCTTTACTTTTTTGACCCTTAGAATTTTCTAGTCAAGATGGCTATATTCGTCATTTAGACATTTACAATCAATTGTTGGCCCTACTAATATACTTTGCTTAATTTATTAAATTTAATCAGCGACCATAAGAAATATAGTCAATTGCTTTATTTTTGTTTAGGTAGTAGTACTACTACTGTACGTTTTTTTTAATTATTAACTTCATTTCTTTTTAATTGTGATGAAACTAATCATTATGTATTACGTAGTATTTATGTTGTCTTTCTCCTTACCTTAATTTATTTGTTTTACTAGGTTAGAACTCTTACGATGCTGATTTGTATAAAATCTATTTTTATAATTTGTATATTTAAAAAAAGTGGATAAATATAAATAAAAATTATTTACCTTGTACAAAAATATTTGTAATTTTAAAATTTTAGATTTTCATCAAAATTATGATATAATACATGTTCAACGTCGCCTAATACATATTTCAATGTAGGAGTCCATTTATTAGTGTGCTATTTACAATTGTTTCATTTCTTAGGATAAGTTAATAGATTGTAGTTGTAATAATATTCAAATTTCAAAATTGTTAAATATGATAACTCCAAAAAAAAAAAAAAAAAAATGTCATCTTTGTATTTAGGCGGGAAAGTTTTTATTATGAGAGTGACATATGGACAGTGACGACATTAACAGTGTTTTGTTTTAGTAATAGTTAATAGATTTTTGTAAAACTAAATTTTCACTATTGCTTCTCTGATTCAATGAAAACGATACAATAAAGCTACTTGTACTAGTACAAGGCAAATAATCTTTAACCTATCGCTATTAAAAATTTAAAATTGTAGTTATTTCTATCCATTTTCTGTGATTTTGCAATTTGGAATAATAAAAAAAAAAAGTCATACATGTTTACGACTTTACGTAGAAGACTAGGACCATAAGCTGCTTGCTGACAATTTTTATATAAATCCGTGTGTGCGAGATGTACCGATGTTTTTTTTTTTTTTTTTCAATTTAATGATTAATGAGCAATAATAATGTAATTATTAAAATAAAAAATAAAAAAATATCTTAAGTATGCCGTGCATTCGGATGTATATAACAACTTTTATCTATTCGTAAACTTTTTTTCTATAAAAAAATTCATTTCAACGAAGTTTAACCTAGAAAAAAGAAAGACTGTAACATTGACGGAGTCTGCGAGTCATTATGTTATAATAGTCAAACTTAATTATTAATTTTTTATTTTTTTTATTTTTATTATCTCTCCTCTGTAAAATTAATTAGTTCATCTTATATAAAGTAAACATTTCTTGGCAATCTATCCAATCAATTAACACACCTTTCTCTCTTCTTCTATTCCATAACCCTTTTTTTCATGGTGTAGTAAGCCATTGAACAACTCTTTATTCTTCTCTTCTTCATTCTACATTTCTACCTTTTTCTTCCCCCCCCAAAAATACACCCTTTTTTTTCCCATGAGACAATTTATGGAAGGGGAAACGAAGAAGAGGAAGATAATCGAGGACGATGATGACGAAGATGAAGATATTAAGATAGAGAAGTTCTATGCACTTATTAGGAGTGCAAAGGACATCCGTGATCAGCTTCTTGATCCTGATGGATCATCGAAAGCTCGAGCAAAAAAGGTGGTCGCTACGGAAAAGAAGGCCGAGGGTGTAAGAATTCGTCGGAATAATATTGTAAAGAGTTTTGCAGCAGAAACTGCAGCAGCCGTCTCGGCTGCTGCTGCTGCTGTTTCTAATAAATCTGATGTTATGTACACCAACCAGCACGCTGCTGCTGCTAATACGAAAGCAGCAGCAGCAGCAGCTGCGGCTGGTAGTGCTGCAGGTTCTGCTGTTAGGAATAGCAGATCATCACCAGAAGAAAAGAGCAAAAAAACAGCAGATCAGAGTAATAATTATAAAGGGGGTAGAATTATGTTGGATCTTAATCTTTCCCTTTAATGATGTAATATTTCTTAGGATGTAAACATTAGATTTTTGGGTATGTATCTTTCTAATAGTAGTAATTCTTTTCTTCATTTTTGATTTCCTAAATAAGTAAAATTAGCCCATCCCTGTTAATTTGGGAGATTGAAGTAATAATTTTAATCTAATTAGAAAAATTAAATAAAAAATTGAAACTTTAATTAGCATTAGGTTCATATTGAAAACCTGTTAATTTGGCTATCAGAAATATCAGCAGCTCAATTTGGTTATAGCCACATGTTTGACGAGTCCATTACATCTGGATTTTGATGGTAGATTTTTTGGAACTTGCATTTATTGTCGGTTCTGAAATTCATGGTCTTTTGTGATTTTGAAGATTTTTGAAATCAGAAAGAAAACAAAAGGGATAATTTGTTAGACAGTTGTATATAGAAAATTAGAAATTCATTGTATTTTTTGTATGACAAAAGAAATTTGTTTGAAATTTGGTACACCCAAGTGTAAATGAGAAGTTGAATCGAGATTGAATTGATTACTCGATTAGTGATGTTTGATATGCTTTCAAGTAATGCTATCTTCTTATACGTAATTGGTAATTCCCTTAGCTACGAAGTTGCCATTTCATTAATTAAGGTAAGATTCGTTGCACAAAAATTAAAAAGAAATTTCTGCATGGCAGATAATTAAAAAGTAAGTTATTTAAAGGGAGTCCCGATTTATGTTTATCAAAGGACAATATTGTTATATTTTAAGGTAAAATTGCTAATGATTTAGCAGTTATTAGCGATTTTACCTATAAACCATACAAATTTAGGCTATTTATTATTTACAAGTTAGCTGAAGCAAAATGATATACTAGCATTTTCTCGTTATTTTTTTTTATTTTTTTTTTATTTTTTTTTTTTTTGAAAAAACAGCATTTTCTCGTTTTTTAATCATATAAGCTAATGTCCTTTTTTTAGTCATCAATAATTTAATGACAACCAAATACTAAGTGCCAACCGCCTTAGTTTTTTTTTTTTTTGAAAAAACAGCATTTTCTCGTTATTTAATCATATAAGCTAATGTCCTGTTTTAAGTCATCAATAATTTAATGACAACCAAATACTAAATGCCAACCACCTTATTTTAAGCCAATGGTAAAGAGATGTGAATAATGAAAAGAAGCAAAATCTTGATTTTTTTTGGTGAAACAAGAAATCTCGTGAATAGGTTAGTGTGTATTTTACTATTTGTATAAGTTCATAATTTTATTTTAAAGATTACACTAGTTAGTTGCATTTGAGCCTTAGTTCAGAAAACATTGGATTTGGGCCTCGAGCACCAAATCAATTATTTGAGCTACGAGCCAAGCTTGATCGAGCCTCGAGTCGAGATTGAGCTCACCAATTTCGAGCTCAAGCCAAGCCTATCTAGGCTCGGTTCCGACTCTTAAATCTGCTGCCAATTTTAACATCACTACTCGTACTAATTACTCGTATTAGATTTATTACACTTGTGTACATGTTGATTGAAAAGTCATTGCAGGCAAGTAGGATACACGTGTGCATATATCACATTAGCAATCTAAAAGCAGAAGCAACGAACATGCACAATCATGCATGCATCACTCGGTCGAGTTACCGTCACACCACACCGAGAAATTTAGCTTTGAAGGGTAGAAAGTTGAAGCAGCCTAAGAAATCCTGGCTGCTTATTAGTGTAGAAAAACTTCACGATGAGACTTACAAATATCATTGATATTGGACGACTTAGTACAGTAACACCCATTTGCAGAAATTGTATATACAGTATATCTATTGACAGTCAATGTATATTGTAATTATTGGGTTAAGAAATTAATTACAAACTTGAAAATTATGGCCAAGTATTGTGACACATAAAGTGATCAGTAATTTAAATATTGTTTTCTTCTCCAATATAATGGAAATTT